CACTGTATGTGATCTGTATTATATATACAGTGTGAGATGTATTATATTTTATATATATGCTGTGATATATATTATATATACAGCATGTGTGATATGTATCATATATCATATACATACTGTGTGATGTATATTATATATTATATGTACACTGTGTATTAAGCTGGGCCTTGAAAGGAATCAGGGATTCCAAGAGGCAATGCCATGGCATGACGAAAGGCCAGTGCAAAGGATTTAAGATGGGAGGTGAAACACTGTGTTCAGAACAGCAGATAGGCTAATATTGCTACATAACGGACCATATGGGATGGAGAGAGCTGACCAAATAAGAGGCTGGGTGGTGCAGCTGGGTCTGAAGTCAGGAAGATTCATCTTTGCTCATCTCAGTTTCCTCATCTGTAAAAGGAAGAAGGAAGTGGCAAACCACTCCAGTATCTTTGCCAAGAAAACCCCAGATAGGGGAGCTCTCCAATGTCTACCCTCTCTAATCAGAGGCATGGAGGGGGACTCCAAGAGTATAGGTACTGACCACGTATGGTTTTCAGAGTTGGTGTTATCTTGAAGGATGACAACTTTCTGGAGACCATGATGAAGTCTAGAAGAGCAGCCAGGTGGGAAATGTTGATAGAAAAGGGATGATTGGCTAGATAAAGGGAATTCTTTAAGATAACAGTTACCTACCTGTAAAGCAGAGGTTCTTAAACTTTTTTGTGCCATGGATCCTCTTGTCAAACTGGTAAAGCCTATGGACACCTCAAACTAATGTTTTTAAATAATGTATAAAACACCTAGGATTACAAAGGAAAACAATTATATTGAAATACAAGTTATCATCTATATTTTTTTAAGTTCACAGACCCCAATTTAAGTACCTTTGCTCTAAAATAAGTTTGACCTTTGGGCTTACCCAGACTGACACCTCCATGTACCTTCTGACTATATTTGCAGCTAGAGTCTTAGGAAGAAATAACCAACATACAATTTAACCTACTTCAGATTAGCAAATGGCATAGCTGGAGGAAAGTGAGGAAAAGCTTCTTGAAGGAGGTGGTTAAGGATGGTTAATGTATGGATAGGCAGATGGGATTACAAGGCATTCTAGGTAGGAGGGAAAAATCTGTAAGCACATTATACTAAAACTGATTAGATTAGTAGTTTCCAATATTAATTGAAAAAATAAATTTGAACTGATAGGCCGAGGCCAAATTATGAACGGCCTTAAAGTCAGGAAGGATAATGTGGACTTGGTATGGGAATCAACAGGGAGGCATTGTAGATCTTTGATCCAAAAAATAACATTATAAAGTATCATTTAAAATAGATTAGATGGCACTTGCCCAAGGTCATACAGCTAGTAAGTGTCTGAGGCAGGATTTGAATGGAGGAAGATAAGTCTTCCTGACTCAAGGTCTAGCACTGTCCTCTCTGTGCCACCTAGCTGCTGGTTTATAGTTAAAAATTATTTGAAAGTATATTCCACCCCCAGTTTTTCCACAATTTGCCATAACTAGCCACTTGGTTTATATAATTATATAATTATGTCTCAGAACCTTCATTCATCCATCAAACACTTGAACATCTACATATAAGACACTGACCCTGTTAAACCCTGTGTGAACTGTGTGGCAGCAGAGAGGCAGAGAAATTGGAATAAACTTCTTTCACACCACTTGCGGTTCACTTTGAGCTTTTGAATTCTGCAATTGTTTGGCAGTGTAAGGAAAAGTCTCTTTTCTCATATTTTTTTTCAAATACAAATAGCATCCTTTTTATGGCTTGTTTCATAAATTTGGTTCAGTGAAGTTAGAACTAAGGAGGCAAATCTCTTAAATACTCAAAATGTATCTGTGATCTCATTGATTTGGAAGTTCTCTCCCATGAATAACAAACATGTTATTAAATTCCAGCAACTTGCTAAGTGCTGGGAATGCAAAAAACAGAAATGAAACAAGACCTTCACAAAAAGGACTTATATTCCGCAAAGGGAGATAGCATAGAATAGGTATATGTAGTCCTCATATAAAAAAAAAATTCAAGGTAATTTTGGGAGGGAGGGAGAGCACTAGTAGCTGGGAGACCTGTAGAACATGGTGCTCGAGTAAAGAGTCCTAAGAAACAAATCATGAGGAAGAACATTCCAGTATAAAGGCACAGAGATGAGAGATGGATTATCATGTGTGAGGAATAGGAAGACCAGTTTGATTGGGCCATAGAATACAAAAAGTGGTTTAATATGTGTGAAGGAGGGTGATCCCTTCCCCTCAGTGTAATTATAAAAAAAAAATTAAAGCAGATAAGAGGAATAAGAAGGTATATATATCCACTGACCCCTTTATTGTAGTGAGGACTTTTCTCTGATAAGAAACATTATGGTTAGCAAAGCAAGCAAATTAATCATACACCTATGGAAGTTTTAAATAGCTAAGCTCTGGAGAGAAGAAAGCAGGCAAGTCCAAGACCTGGTGGATTCTCTTCTCTGCCCCCCAACTTTTCATGTAACTTTGAAGGGGGGGCTTCTAATCCAGTAGATGTTACATCCAGCTGGAAACAAAGATGTACTCAAGACAAACATGGGTACAATCACCCAAGGAAGGAAGCTTTGAGAACTGAGACACCTGGCAGCCAACTTTGCACCCAAGGGACCCACATGAGGACTCTTATGGTTTTAGGTCTTGCAGTTACAGGAGTTATGAATTGCCTTTGGCACTTTCCCTTCACATGTGCCTCGCTACTACTGCCCACTCTTCCCATGGACACTGTGTATTTATGTGTGGGAAAGTAGACCCCAGGTTTATGGAGGGGAAAGTTTTATAAACACTGGTTTTAGCATGCTTTTGTCTTTTTTAAATAATGCACTAATAAAAATTTAATATCATAAAACAAATTAAAAAACAGCAACTTTTTTTTTAAACCATTCACAATTAAAGTAGAAAAAGACAAAATTATAAAGCAGCCATCCATGGAATGATTTCATGTTTACAAAGGATTGAGAAGAGATTTAAAATCACTGTACAAGCCTTTGAATTTGGGGAACAGCAATATTATCCCATAGAAATCTAACTTAATAGAAGATGTTGCCAGAAAAAAAAAATTAGCCCATCTTCTTGTGTTTAGCACTTACATTAGGCTGAGTACACCTGGAGAGTTACCAAAATGTTCTATGTTCCCTTCCCACAAATAATAGCTTCCTTCCAGATCTCCTGAGGTTGATATCAATGAGCTGAAGGAACAATGACAGTAAGTAACATCACTGACTTGATTCACAGCATCTCTTACTTTTTTGGGGGAACAATGAATATACTGTAACTAGGCACATATTTACCGCTGCATGGAAGATTCTAGCAAGCAAATACAAAGGGTTTCTCCAATTTAGCAGTTCTCAACAAGTGTCCTAAGTCTCTTAAGAGATTAGATTTTTACATACAATAAGCAGGAATGTTCTTTGGGGTTTTGTGTTGAGACAGTCATCAAAATCCCGTGCTCAGCATCTCACTACCAACATATAATGTACTTCAGCTGCTTGATACAGCCTGATAACTGGTGTGCTGTCCTTGCTAATTCTCATCCACTTAAAAGGAAAAAACCAGGCAGCTTATAAGTAGGCTGGTGGGGGCGGGGAAAAAAAAAGAATACAGTTTTCTGTTATCACAAGGAACAGATATTCTAAGCAGCCATTTTTCTTCCTTTCCCAATGACTGAAAAAACCAAAAATACAGCAAAATGGCTGATGTGGTAAGTACAGAGTTAAGGGGAAAAAAAAGTAGCATGCAGCCTCTGTAGATAGTGCCTTTCCCAACTCAGTGTTCTAGTGCAGAGCCTCTGGCTATGCTAAGCAATGGAAACCTAGCAATGAAAAATCAAAGCAGAACCAAATTGATCAAAGGATCAATACACTTCAAAAGAAATGGCAATTGATATATGGCTACCTGAAAATGCTTGAGGTGTGTTAAAATTTCAGTCAAGAGAAAATCCTGGATTTGAGCAAAATCGTGTACCATAAAGGGAGCCAGACTGCAACTAAAATGAACTTTGGCTACTGGTAGGAACCCTCCCCACCAACGCTTTTCATTATAAGTTGTGTATCTCTTTGGTAGCCAAAAGTTCCATCCAAAAATCATGGCAGCAAATTATATATCGCCAATGATTTAATACCTATTATAGTATTATGGCATCCACATTTAAAGAGGCAGGTCAAAACAAGGGAAAAACAGAAATGAAATGTATCATTAAGTTAAAATCCATATGGCCTCTCCCCCAGTGCAACGCGTCTAGCATAGAGTAGGTGATATATAATCACTTGTTCTCCTTCTCTTCTTCTAGCTGACAGGTTCACTTTGGCAAGACCATTAAGCATTTTTCCTTCTAGAACCTGTTTCCCCAGTTGGGATGAAAGGTCACCCCTTTTGCCCCACAAAGAAGTGTTGTAGGGTTTTAGCTTATAAGAAGTTCAGATGTCTCTATTTTAGGATTCCCAATTTAGGGCCAAAAGAAATCCAAACCTTGCCCTGTGACTAAGAAAAATTATTCTGTTTGGCTTCCAAATTATACTCCCTAATCTTCACTGTCACAGAGACTTGTCATCTGGTCCCTAGAAGCTTACTTGCTTTGGCTGTATCCAACTAATATCTGTCCCCTTTTACCAAAGCATGCAAATACAGCAATACTATGTTAGAACTGGAAAAGACATAGACCATCTAGTCCATTCTCCTTCCCTTTTATAGATTGAGAGATTAAGTAAATGACTTGCTAGTCACACAAACTAATAAACAATTGACCTAGAATTAGATCCAAAGTCTTGATTTCAAGTCTATAATTAAAAAAAAAAACTTATAAAGCTATGTACTTCAAAGGTAAAATACCAAATAGGCAGCCACAGCCCCACCAAAAAAAAAACACAAAACCAAAACTTTAAGGTGTAACCCCTCCTCCCACCTTGGAGAGGGGGTCAAAGGGCAGGGAGGGATTTGGTTCATAGTTCAGCTCAGTTCCTATATAGCATAGTCCTAAATTCTAGGTCTAAACTCCCTAGGGACCAAGTCCTGGCCCCCTGGCTTTTCAAGGTTTTTCCTGCTGAGCCAGCTGTCTGCACCATCCCAACCTGCAGTCTTGGCTTCAAGTTTGCCATGACTTGAACACTCAGCACCTGAAACAGAGGTAGACAAACACAGAAGATCATTTGTTGGAGCTGGGACAAAAGAGGGGAGGGGGACGGTATCCCACGCTGTGGGGGAACTGTGACCTTCATCCCCTGGAAGCAGCCAGAAGGAACTTGGAGGCGGAAAGCCAAGTCAATAATTCTTTACACTATATCGCATGTCCAGGCCAGCTTGCTCAAAACAGATTAATTGCTGACTCTACCTACCCCTTATGGTGATATTGACTCTGCTGCTGGGTGCCTTGTAAGGTGGCCTAAGTTACTAAAGATTCTGGAAGTTTAATTTCTTTTCTAGCCAGAAAAGAGAAAAGTATTGTGGGATCTGGATTTGGACAGTTTTCTGCTTCAATGACAATTCTTAAATCTCTCAGGAAAGGGAAAAGGGATGAATTAGAGAGGAAAGGGACCAGCTGAAGAGGCAACTTTAAGCCCCATAGCATATGGTGCTGCCCAGTTTTGGACAGTGAGAGAAACTGTTGGAACAATGAGGAATTACACTCGTTCTCTCTTCTGTTTTGTTGCCTCCTGAGAGTAGCACATTTAAGTGTCTCTCTGCCATTTTACATTTTTTTGCTAGTAGTTTGCATTTTTGTTTTTTTTTTAAAACAGATTACCAGACAAAAATAATCTTGTCCTGAGTTGGTGTTGTTATACTCTGATTGGGTGGGGGAAGGAACTTTTGGATAATTGGTTATATGAAGTTCAATTGGCTGGAGATTGTCCCCTTAATCTGGCAATCAATCTATCACCTTGGGGCTGAGAACATTTTACCTGCTATTCAAAATCTGTAGTTTGAGCTTTCTAGCTCTGCTGAAAAAGGAAGTCACATAGAGCTAAAACCCTAAGAACTAATCTCATTATCTCCAAAACAGACAGGTCACTTTGCACCAGGGGCCTCTGGATTTTGTCCATCCTGTGGCTACTGTCCCTTCAAGGGTGGGGGGGCGGGGGGCGGGAGTGGTCGTAGAGAACTCAAGGAAATTCATGGTCTTGAATAGGTCCCCAGTGGGTGGGGAAAAAAAAATCACAGGACATTCCAGCCACTGTGCTAAGCACTTTACAATTATTATCTCATTTGATCCTTCCTCCAACCTGGGAGGTAGGTTCTATTATCCTCATTTTACAGATAAGGAAACTAAGATAAAATAGGGGTTGTGACCTGCCCAGTCACACAGCTATTGAGGGTCTGAGGTCATATGTGACTTTGGGTCTTCCTGACTCCAGGCCCTGCGTGCTATCACCAGCTGCCCCAAATCTATGATCTGTGATCTCCTATTTTGCATTTAAATAACGCACAAAGGCTAAATAAATTAATTTTCAATGCAACTTTATTATCATAATCTGAGAAGTATTTAGAGTATAGTTATTAACTATAAATTAGCACAAGACTGCTTGGCAGGAATTTGGAAATAGCCCAATTCCATAATACAATTCAAGATTTTTTTTTTTTACGGAGTGTCGCCCCCTCTAATAAGGGATATTCAGAGGGGAAAAGGGGTCCTACAATCCAACTAGAAGGAATACTATCCTCTAAGAAACAATATAATTTTTCTATACTTCCCTGGGCTTGAGTCAGCTTAAACTGGCTCTGTGTCAAACAATGCTTGTCTAGATCTTCAAACCCACCACATAGGGAAAAGGTGATATGAAGCCCCTGCATGTCATAACAGGCCTGCTGGAGCTTGTCTTGTAAGCTGCTTGGGAGACCTTGGACTTTAGGCATGAGGTCCATGAAGGCCGACTGTAATTTCAGGGAAATGCTACGGAACATGTCCAGAGTCAGGGCTTCCACGAGCTGCAAGAAAAAGGGAGGACAGAAAGATTTTAGTAAGTATGCAGTTGCTGTTCATTCTAGAAGAAATTCTAGATTCCTAAAAAAAGGCCTAATTATCAATGTCCTTAGCCTTTTATCACCTCTTCTTTGATTGTAGATTTAGAAGTATATATAATGTGTGTGTGTGTGTATACACACATACATACACAGACACACACACACACATACACATATATCTATATCTATATATCTATATATATATATATCTATATATCTATATCTATATATCTATATATATCTATATCTATCTATCTATATATATATCTATATATATATTACATAGGTAACCAATAGGCAATGGGAAATAGTTAACTTTTTTCTTTTTTAAATCCTGGATTGGGAGTTAAGACTCCATTTAAACCCGTACTCTCTTACTCCTTATGGGAGTGTGGGGAAGATGCTTTGTATCTTAATCCTCAATCTGCAAAATAAATTAGATGAATTCTAAAGTTTTTGCCAACTGTAAAAACTTCCTTAGGCTATCTTTTCCTGTTAATAGTCCCATCTTCTTCTAGTCACTAGGTTCAAAAGTCGTCTTTGGATGGCGGGTGGGAATTACAGCAAGAAGAAAAAAAATCAGTTGTCAAGGTCTATTGACTGAAAGGATCTCTATTTTCCCGCCTCACTACTTCGTCAGCTAGACTATTTCAATACAGCACCGCACCGCCCCCCCCCAATGATTATCTTATTCCAGTCTTTCCTTTACAGCAAGGCCAAGTCTTTTTTTGAAGGGGGGGTAGTTAGGGAGAGGAGGCAATTGGTCTTGACCTGGGTCACACAGCTAGTGTCTGAGGGCAGATTTGAACTTAGGTCTTGACTCCAGGGCAAGTGCTCTATCCACTGTGCCACCTAGCTGCCCCTCTGAGGCATCTTAATGTACTGTTCTGATCCATAGCTAGAACTAGCATGATATGATGAGTGCTAGGCCCCAGATGTTGACTTCCTACTTCTTCCCCCTCCCAGTACCAGCTACCCGTTTGCTGTCTTCCTCATTTGCTTTGGGCCATGTCTGAGGGTCCTGTGGAGGTCAGGCACTCCTCTTGAGGCATTTTCTTCCTGCCTCTGTCATATGAGCCACCTGGCCTGGGGAACCTGTGCTTATGCGGGATCAGCAAAGATGATTTATATCTGGGATATCTCTTCACAATCTATAATAAACTCAGCTCTAAGCTTATCTGTCCCCGTCTTCCTCTGTTCCTCCTAGGGGTCTTTTTTGTAGTTTTGGAGAAGATCCCATAACTTGGCGGTCACAAGACCCAAGTTTCAATCCTGGCTCCTCTTGGAGCTTGGACAGTTAAAACTTCCCAAGGCCCTTGTTTCTTTCTTTGCTTGGTAAAAGGGATGCCTCCAAGACTCCTTTCAGCTCTTATCTATGACCTTTTGATTCTAGGTCTTTCTCCTTATATTCCTTCTGCGTGTTCTGGTAATTCATGAAATCTAGCTTTCTCCTGAAGCTACATACCTTGATGCCTTCTCCAAGGCTGACTGCTCCTGCTGTCAAACACCGAACACAGGGTCAGGAAGAATTGGGATATTACTTCTTTGCTCTTTCTGCTACAACTGCGACTCAGCAAGCAGTTTGTCTTTTGTAGTTCTCTCCTTCCTATCTAGTTACTTGTTGCTTGTCATCTCTGGAGCTCTGGCTGATCTTCCCCCTCCCCAAGTAAGATTACTTGGCTCAATCTCACCCCAGTCTCTGCTTCCTTCAAATACCCTGGGCCTTCTAGAGTACAGATTCATATGACCCTTGTCACCTAGCTACACCAGACGAAGATTGATTTTTATACTTATTTCTTCTGCATATTAAAGAGTGGTCATGCCTATATCAGATTGTGTACCACCTTGGAGAGGGTGGTGGGGAGGGAGGGGGAGAAAAAATTTTAAACTCAAAAGCATATGGAAGTGATTGTTGATAAATCAAAATAAATTAATTAAAAAATTTTTAAAAAGGAGTGGTCACTTAGACACAGATTCCTTCTTACACAATAGAACAGGAGACAAAAACAAACAGCTGACAAGTTTCCCAAGAGCCTTGACAGTCTCATCCCTAGAATCCTTTCCCTTATTCCCAACCTGATATTCTCCCTAGTTTTCCCCCTCTCATCCCCCAAAAAGCAAGAAGGCAAGACAATCTTCCTCCAGAGGCACATTCTAAAAGCTAACTTTCTGACAACACCCTCCACCAAGTTACAAAATAGCTACCACCAGATTAGAAGTCATAATCCAGCTGCCCAAATGATACTGAAAAATCTCAGTACCTTTCAAGTCACTATGCTGAGGATAACTTTCTCTTCCCTTCTCAATTCACCCTTTTTCAGGTCTAGCAGAAGTCCCTATCCTCCACAAAATCTTCCCCAATTCATCTTAAAACTTCTTTTGTTATATTTTTGCTCTTTTATTTTCACATACTGCACTTAGTACCTATGAAGGCTAAAGAAGCCATGTAAATAAGTTATAGGTATGCCTACAATGATACACTATTGGTCTATTGATACTTCAGACAGAAGGTTCACTAGAGCTTCTGAGGGATCCAAAGTCAGCTGGGATAGCTAATGCACAAGTAATTAGTAACTAAAGTGCTATTAAGAATGTTGAGGTCTCAGAATTACCTTGAACTAAGAGCATGGTGCCATTTTCTTAGTCTATGATTTGTTGGACACAATTGCCCCTAGTTAGTATAGTAAGTCAGATCCATGGTTTATATAGGTGCCTTAAGCTCTTGAGTTTTATAGAATATCCTTTTAAAAGGTACTATTATCCAATACTTCCTGAAGATAAGGGCTTTTAACATGTTTAAAATGTTAGGAACGTACCATATTGTCTACCAATTCATCTTACCCTCTTTTTCATTATCTCCATTAAAAATATACATTGGCTTCAGGCCTTACATAGTGGCCAGCACCATTCTTCTAGTTACCCTCAGTTTTCAGCCTTGTCATTATCCCTGCTTCCTCATTCTCCCTCCTCCCACCTCCATATCCAGTTGGAGAGTCTTATCAATTCCACATCTTCCACCTTTTCCTTTCTTTCTACTCATGGCTCCCACCCTGGTTCAGACCCTTGTAGCCTTACCCAGACTATCATTAGAGTGTCTCATTTAGATTCCTGGCCTCTCCTCTATCTTTTTCTCTGAACATTTTCCACAAGGAAACCAAAGTAATCTTCGTAAAGCAAAAGCCTATCATACCTTTAATTGGGAACTTCGCATGGTTTCCTCTCTCCTTTGGGATTTTTTTTTTACAATTCATTTTCTATTTACTTCTCTAGGTACATTTTACTTTCTCCTCTTTAATATATTCAGTTCCAGCCAAGCTACCTACTTTCTGTTCCCCCAAACTTGGGATTCCTACCTGGAAACAAGATAGACTATATATGCCTAGGAAATACTTTTAACCCTATGTCATGAGAGTCCCTGCTTGACTTCAAGGTTTAGTTCTTGTATTATTCTCCTATGGTAAACCTTTTCTCATCCCCCAATTGTAACTTCTCACCATCCTCCAATGTTTACATAGTAAAGTATTCCTAGTTGAATTCTCCTTGAAGCTTGAGGCAATGGGGCATTTGTAATATATAGGAGCAAAACTAAGCAAATGTTCATGAGGCTACCTGATATCCAAAAACATCAGTTTGACATTAATGTTCCATGTGTCTGTAAGTCTGATACCTGTGTATCATCCACATTTTTGGACAGGCTCTTACTCCAGTTGATCCACAGCTCAAATAAGGCCTTATGGTAATTCTGCTGACCCTCAGAACCTTGCTTGTTTTGACAAGTCTGGTGGAACAAAGCATTTGGAAAGTTTGAAGATATAGTCTGCTTTATAATGGTGTTCATCAGAATTGAAGTATGCTGGATTTATCAAGGAGTCAGAAATTTATAATTCCTTTCCTGTAGTTGAAGGCCATTTTCTTATACATGCCATAAAAAGGTAATTGCCATAACAGAATGGCTACATGGCTAAGTGGAATCTAGAAGTAAGCTTGCTTCTACCACTTTAACATTCCCCCATCACCCACACATACAACCACCCTTACCCCTCCTGGTGTACCTTGCTATTTCTAGCAAGGTAAAGACCTAGTAGTGGGGCTTGATGAATAAAGTCAATATCCATCAAAACTTACACAATCTTAGGCAGCATCAACAGGCAATATTCCCAATGTAGGGTATAAGCTCTGACCAGAGCTAAATGCTTCTAATATGATCAGTTCTGGGCATTATATTTTAAGATCATTGAGATATAGTAGAGAGCAAAGGAACATTCAGAATGTTGAGAGGCCTCAAGATCATATCAGATGAACAATGTTTAGTCTAGAGAAAAGACTACTTTAAGGCAGGGTGATAATACAATAGCTATCTTCAAATACTTCAATGAGTTAAGGAGAACAAGAGGTTAAAGTTTTTTGTTTGTTTATCCATTGCTCCTAGGAGGAGGAATGAGGGAGGGTGGGGAACATAGAGCCAAACATATAGCCAAAGGTAGATAAGGGAATTGTGTAGGGAGCAAGTGGGGTCAACTGACCGATTTTAAAAGTGCCCCAATAATAGGCTGCCTTGAGAAATAATGAATGGGTTCTTTTTTACTGGGTCATTAAACAGAAGTTGGGTGACTGCTTCTCAAGTGATTGCTATATAGAGAGGGCATAGACAGCTCTATATGACTTTTTATGCTAGATGGCCTCCGAGGTCCCTTCCAACTTGGAGTCTGTAAAAATACTGTTAGGAAGGAACTGGTTGGTTTCAGAAGTAGATTAGAGCATAGAAAATCCTACCAATTCAATTGCTTCATAGAGCTGGTACAAGAGTTTTCTGATGTTGTTCTTGGCACCTCTGATATTTTCCAGAACATTCTTCTTTGGTTGGAGGTTGCTTGGCAGAGAAGCTAGTGACATGAAATAGCCTTCATCTCTTGAAGGCTCATCTCTAAAATAATCTCCGTCTTCCTCTAGAGATTCTTGGATATTAGCTATATTGAATTTTTTAAAAAGCATTAATTCTACTAGAATAACACTTAAATTAATAAGCATTTACTAAGTACCTACTATGTGTCAGGTACTGTATTAAGGGCTGGGGTACAAGAGGCAGCAATTGACAGTTCCTTCCTTCAAATCTTACAATCTAATAGGGGAAGACAGCATGCAAATATATGCAAAGTAAGCTATAGGCCTGGTAAATAGGACATAATTAACAGAGGGAAGGTACAATAGAATTAAGAGGGGTTAAGGACCAATAGAGAGTCCATCTTAGGGACCTTGACAATCTATAGGACATTCCTTTTGCTTCTGTTACAAGGAAAGCTAAACTATGCTATATGACCAAATCCACAAAGACATCCAGTTTTCCTTAAACCAAGGCATTGACACTACTATCAAATCAGCATCAGATTCTTATTCAGGGCCAAATATGTAACAGCTATAAGACTGTTGTACTCTTAAAGATAAACTTATATGTAAATGATTAGTATTTATATTTTTATTTAAAGGAAGTTTTATATTTAAAGGAAATTAGATAACTAAGTCATAGGGTACATCAGGAGCATTCTAATCAGGAATTAGCCAGACTATTTTACATTCAAATGCAAGACTGAGTAAGGGAGGAGACTAGAGGAGTTATATCTAGCTTGACAGTTACTGACCCACATCCTCTTGGATTTCAGACAAGATTTTCTGTCCATCAGATACAGATCTTGTGGAAACAGCACTGATGCTGGTGGCATCTTCCTTGCTTGAGTTACCACTACTTGCATTCATTAATGAACCTGTTTCTTTGGATAGCTGAACTTCATCAAATATGATCTCTTTAGATAAATGTAGTTCCTAGAAAGAGTAACAAAAATTTATGATGTCTTAGGCTCTTAACATGCTTTGTTTTGGTACCATTCTGCTTTTTAGTTTTTTTCATATCCCCAAATATGTACTAATACATACTGTGTTTCAACCAAACTACATTTTTGGATCTACTAGATTACATGTTCCATTATCTCAACTTTTTTGATGCTTGTGACCATCACAATGTGGGGAAATCTAACCTATCTTAAATGCTAGAAAGGCCTTCCCAGAATTCATAGGAATTGAAAAGTACTGACAAGATTCTGAATAGAAGTCAGGAAATGTTTCCATCTTCTTATTTCTGGCAGTGGTCTTTCTATACAGTGAGCATTTAATGTTAACTTTTTTTTATCTTCTATTAGACAAGAGAAACAAGAAAAGGATCTAGTTTACCTTATAAATATTTAGCCATTTCAAGTTTCTTCCAGTAATTTCAGGGCCCCCTCTCATCTAACACTAGAATTTGTGTTCACTTGTTCATTTTGTTTGAATTTTAATGTTTATTGACATGAAGGCTCAAGGTTCAGTGACAAAAAAAAGTTGGAAGGGGAATTTCTTTCAAACTACCAATTCAAAGATGAAGGAGTAGAGGAGTATAGTTCTGAGAGAGAGAGAGGAAAACTAGATAAGAATCTAATTATAGACAAACAAACAAAAGTTCAAGTTAAACCAAGTATGGGAGTAGTTAGATGCTAGCCAAAAAGGACAGAAACCAAGGGAAATCTATAACTATGAAAACATCGGTTTGGTGGCAGTGGTAAAGAAACATGGTATTCAGGGGGAAAAAAGAAGAATAGGTTTGGGATTGGGCGAATTCAGGAGGCTCCATATAAGGGTGGCAGCTTGGGGTTCAAGGCTCACTAAGTTTGTTGTGACAACTCCTTCTAGAAATGGGGTTTGGGCATGTCCTGATGTATGCAGCTGATAAAGGAACAGGTACAAGTCATTACAGTCCTTTTGAAGGAATCCTCCCATCTTTGAAGGGAAGAAGCTACCTGGTCATTCCCATGATCTTGATGTTGCCTTTGCTTGTGCTTTATTACTTTCCTTATAGATGCAGCTAAGGGGCTCTGGGCCTGGAGTCAGAAGACTGAGTTCAAATCTGACCTCAGATATTTACTGAATTTGTGATTCTGGGCAAGTCATAACCTCTGCCTGCCTCAGTTTCCTCAACTGTAAAATGCAGATAAAAAAATAGCACCTAACCTCACAGGTTTGTGAGGCTCAAATGAGGTATTATTTGTAAAAGCACCTGGCACATAGTCGGTGCTTAATAAGTGCTAATTCCATTCCCTCTCTGCCCCTCCCCAAAACCGATACTGAGGAGAGGGTATGGACTTTCCTTTGTAGATGAAAAAAACTTGATATTTTGCTTAATTACCCAGATTTACCTCGATGAAAAGGTTTCTTTTTAATTAGTCAAATGTTTCCTCTGTTGATTGTGGCTCACTCCCTAGATTTTATACCAAGTTCAAGTTTATTGCTTTTATCTGTTAGCTTTGTTATTTATCCATTTTTTTTAGTATAATCTTTTCACAGGCTCTTTGCTCTCTTCAGTTTTCCACCTTTGATTAGTATAGATACCACAAATATTTTCAAGTTGGTTCCTCTTCAAATACTTAATTAAAAACAAATAAGGAATTTGTATAGAGCTCTTCTTCAGTCTACTAGGGTTAGCTATGACCACAAGCTCTTGAATTCAGCCATGAATTTAAAAGGAAATGATTTTAAAAGTTTAGAAGGACTCCATGCACTGCAAAGCTTATAAAAGAGTCACTATGGACTGTGTTTAATGCACCTAGGCTTTCTAATTTCTTACTTCTTTCTTATAATGAACTCATTTGCAAGTACTAATAGGATGCTATAAATTAAGATATTTTTGAAACATTAGACCCAGGACTGGATTGTTCTCATAGTAGAATCAGAATGAGCTCAGACTGTTAGTAAAAATTGCCTCCTGTGGTACCTGCAGTCCACTCATTCTCTCTTGGCTGATAGGCTCACTTGAAGCTGAAAATCAAAGCATTATTAGTTAAAAACTAGAAGGTATTGACAGGTACAGCTGCCAATAAGGTAAACTAGTACCAGTAATAACAAGTCTTTGGGCCAAGAGCAATTAAACTACCAACTCTAATTTTTCCTTCTGCCTAGAAAAAAAATCAATTCAAGGGAAGCTTCTGTTTCACAAGAAATGACTACATTGAATTCAGAGGTTGATTACTCTAAAATGTTTACCATCAAAATGTTTAATAATTCTAACCTGTTTAGGTGATTTACAGTAATAATTCCATATGTAGGATTCCAACTCAATGCTGTTCTTTAAGGCATCTGTTCTTTCTGCTAATTGGCACAAGTACAAATACATATTCTAAGAGAACATGCCATGATAAAAAGGACATTGAATCTGGAGTCAGAGGAATTGGGCTCAAATCCAGATCCAAATACTATGGTCTATTCTCCAGCCTTAGGCTGACTACAAACATAATAAAAGGTCTTAAAGCCCCACCTCAAATACTCATGGTAACATTACAACTTTGTACATCATAACCATCTTCTTGGAAACAACACTACGCCAATATTGCCAACAAAAGGATACCTGACAATTTTATTTTATTATAATATGTTTATATTACCTAGGTCTTTACTTAAAGATTATTTCTACCATATTCCTGGACAACAGGGCTATATCAACCTGAGGGTAGGGGGGAAAGACTTTGGTTTCCAACAACCAGAAGAACTGTTTTGGCCCAACTTTGGAAGTAATCAGAGCTTTCAACTAATTCTACATCAAAAATGATATTCTAAAGTTATGGAGTATGATATTTTAATGTCACTTCATTCCTGGCCAACAAGAGGGAGTTTTGCTTGAATCAGTAGGCAAATGCTGTCAAATCTAAATTCAAGTTTTAACCATTAAATAGACTACTATTTTACTTGGTCAATTTAAAACATGCCAGCAACCAGGACTATTTCCTCTTTCAAGAGGCTCTACTAAAGTGCATCAGGTTCAATTCCAATCAAAGTGATGTTCACTTACTTTTGGCATTAAGCCTCACCACAATCTGTTTTGCATCATTAAGTATATCAGAGATAGTCTTCTCCATCTGTGATGGGCTCGTTCTGGTTTCTGCAAGACGGGGAGTCTTTTTGGCAATAGTAGATATATGGTCCATGCAAGCCTTTGTGCCAGTAGTAGTGACATGACTAAAGCCACACCTGGGCATTTTTCTCTTCCCATTCTAATCTAAAAGGAAAGTATGACTAATTACATGAATTTCAAAGAGATTTTACATCATATTGGATGGAAGTATTCCAGAAAATTCCATCTTAGCAGAAAAACACATGCGGCCATGTATTATAATGGAGAGAACACCCAATTAGGAGAGAACACCTGGGTTTGAGTTCTGCCACAGCTGTAACGTTGGGCAGGTACTTTTAACAACTTAGTTTGTTTCTAGGTGTTATAGTGGATAGAGTAACAGGCCTGGACTCAGGAAGACCCAAGTTCAAATCTGACCTCAGATACTTAATAGCTGTGTGATCCTGATCAAGTCACTTAACCCTGTTTGCCTCAGTTTCCTCATCTGTAAAATGAGCTGGAGAAGGAAATGACAAGTCACTCCAGTATCTTTGCCAAGAAAACCCCAAATGGGGTCACAGAGTCAGACATGACTGAAAAATGACTGTACAACAAATTTGTTTCTTTATAAGATGGGGGATAAATATTTGTACTATCTAGCACACAGGATCATTGAGGACCAAGTGAAATGAACATTTGAAGAACAAGCAAATTATCCAAGCTATCCAAAAGTGTGAACAAATGATCCAAACTTTTGGGTGCTGGTCAAAAAGATGGATGTGGGAAAGAAATCTGCCAGTATCTAAGAAGGTTATATTAAGAGTTGCTGGCTCCATATCCTTTGAGCCTTGTTTTTCCTCGACGATATTTCCCCAGCCCTTTTATCCTGCATTCATACATATGCATAACAATATTAGGTTATTTGAAGGCCAGAAGAAGAAAAGAGAGAAAGTTCATATGGACCTAGAAGGGTACAAGGAAACCTTTCCCTACTCCAAGTCCAAGAATTCTTCTCCCTTGCCTAAAATAGCAATGCAAAAAAATGTTAACATGAATTTATATATTAGTGCTATCTCCTTGTGATCTGAAGATGCAAGAGGTCCTGAGAAATAGCAGCTTATTTTCAAGTTTAAATCCTGGCTTACTTTTTTAAAAAAGACCTTTTAGTAAGTAACTTAACTCTTTGGGCCTTAATTTTTCTCATCTATGGATTAAGGGAATGGGACCAGATGCTTTAAAGTGCGATCAACTTCCAAGCCCTAAAATGAAATCAGCTGCCACCCCTGGTTAGTTCTTCACCCATTTTTTTAATATTCTGAATTTCAGCTTCATTCTGGTTCTAGTCTTTGCTTAGGCACACAATAAAAACCCTTCGCTGAACAGCAAATATGCCATTTCAAATAACCTTAAAAGTTCTCTACCCAGCTATATTAGGATAGCCACACACAACTCTTATAGCCAAGGATGTTGGAAAAGGAGAGCAGTAATGCTATATATGGGAGAACACTTCCACTGAATTAAAGGGCTAAACCATTCAGCACAGCATCTCTAATTCTCCCCACTTACCTAGTGACCCTCTGAGAATACAGCCACAGAAGTTACTTTGGCTTTCTCATCATATATAAACACTTGGGGGGGGGGAGATGAGTGGGAAGTGAGCCTTTATCACTGGCAGATGTGAAGCAAATAAACAATCACCAAATGAATTTCAAGTCCTGTGGCCAATGAAGGTTATAAGGTGGGTGGCAGAATTAGTGACTTGAAAGGGGCTACATTAGTTCTCACAAGCTTCATAGCTTTTCTGACTTTTCAATATATATTTACAAAAACATTAATTTATCTTGATAGTTTATATAACCTTCTTCATAGGCCTAGCTGAATTATTTTATTACTGAATAAAAAATTGGAA